CTATTGCCCATTAATATGTTCCAAGATAGTGTTACGCCCTAGCAAAGCGTGTCAGTGTAGAGCGCGTACTGTCTGTGTGAAAATAAAATAATCAGATGTCTAATCTGAGTCACTGTCCGAATAAAAAAACTTGTGGACATTTAGTTGGGACCACGACAAAACCAGAAATTGAACTGGACGACACAGTTTATGTTGAAGTTAAAAGTTCCTCCACAGATATGTGCATTGGCAAACATGCCGTGCAACTGCGGTATTCCACTGACGGAATGACTTTCACCGACAGCAGTCGTCGCTGAGCTGCACGCTACAACTTCGTTTGTGATGTTGTTTGCTGGTCGTGGATTGACTGAGTCTTAGTTACCGGTTAAAATGTTGCTCATTTGGCGTTAGTAATCTTTATTTGTAACGCTGCAACATCGCCAGCAGAAACCTCCTGGTATCTCGATATTGATGGTTGTGGCTCCATAGTACATGTGATCGCTGATTTTACTACGGGTGGATCTTGCCGAGAGCCCTTCAAGGTTTATAAATCTCAGTTTCCAGGTGGTCAACATACATTAAGTTCTCCGAATTGTAGTATTCCATATGATGTACACCTAACATGCCAACAATGTTGCTGAACAATTTGAACTGGACAAAAATAGCAGACGAAAATGTGTTTACAAAATAAAAATAGTTTGGTAGCCAATGAAAATACCATGTTCATTTGCATATACCGGGGTAGACCGTGAAAATACCGAAAATATTATTGCATGGGTGATATGCAAATTAGTTTTGGTCTAAATAAGTGCCTGCCTAAAGAAACCATTACCATTGTTAAAATTTCATTTCACTTGGCAAGTATATTCATGTACCCGGGGAAAAATATCGTACTTCTAAATATTGTTTATTTCTGCTATGTTTCGAAAAACCGTTCTCCTGAAGGGACTACTTTGTTTACTCTTAGACCTCATTTGCATATGGGGTGTGGAAATACCGATTTTGATTTCAGGGACGAATCAAAATAAACTGCAGTACATATGTAATAATTATAGGTACTACATGTGGACCTCTTTCAGATTTGTTCATTTTGTGATGATACCTTCAATTCTCTGATTTTGATATTTTTGTCATTTTTGTTAAAAAGTGAAACTTATGGTTTGATCTCTGTTCATGCATGCGTCTGGACCTATATCTTACTAGTAGACATACCTGGACTGATTACATTCAAACTCCACACACACATCATACATAATATTAGACATATGCACATCAATTTGTTTCACGATCTGATTCAAGTGGAAAAATCATTAAAATCAAGCATTTATGGATGGATTTTGTTCAAACTTGGTGCATGCGTTGGACATTATTGGACCTTGATGCATGTCATTTTGTTTTCAAATCAGATTTAAAATGACTGACTGGGGCCATTTTG